TATCTACCCCTCCCTATTGGTAAAGTGCACTCCTTCCTATTATCTAGGTCAAAGTTAATTAATAATTGTTTTTCAAAAATTTATGTCCTATAAATTTATGTTTTATAACTTTTTTTAACATTGTCTTCTAATTTTATTTTTCTAAATTTATGTTTTATAATAAACTTTTGCAAACTAACTATTTCTAAATTAATTCAAATAATTTTAAAATTATTTTTAATTTTTATAATTGTATTGTTAACGTTTTAACTAATTAATAGTTTATATATGTATTTTTTAAAATAAATATTTAAAGTTACAAAGATAAAATAATTTAATGCAAAAAAGATCATCAAAATAAGTTAATTGATAAATCAACAAATAAAGTATAAAATGTCTGAAAATATTACAACTCAATCAAGTGAAATAAATTTCGTAATACGATTACTAGATAACAGTTGCTCGTGCTTATTTATTCGGGTCATGTACGGAGTAGCCAATGCGGTTGCACAATCATATTTGAAACGAAACCAATTTGACACGATAGAAGGGATCGGGTGCCTTTCTGCCAAAAATATTTTGACGTAATGATTTTCGTTAACGTATCCAATTGTAAAATTAACATGTTCATACCAAGGAGGAGGACTAGATCGAAGTGGGAAGAGTGTCAGGCTACCTATAGTTGTTAAAAAAATGTAGTATCACATTGCATCTTGAAGCAATCAACAAGCCCGTTTCAAAAACATCTATCCAATGCTCATTTGGTGCAAATGAGTCCAGCTCAAAGAAGTTCAAGGAATTATAAAGCTGATACCATAGTTCAATGTCATACACCCTCGAGATATTTTGTTTTGTACATGTTTAACTCATCCATTAAATCATATCGAATAGATAACCATTCATCTTTGTGGTGACGAGACAAACAGTTATTGCTTGAAATCTACAGTTTCCATCGCCTTTTACATCATGTACTTGTGTGATGTAAAAATGAAAATTATTTAAAAATTGATTAATACATTGAAATAAAAAAAATTTAACTTGCATGAAGTACATTACGTACCTGCACGATGTAAGGATGAAAAATACTTGGAAATTGATTAATGTATGGATGTGCATAATTTTTTTGGTTGAAGTATGAATTATGTCTCATTTGTTCATTGTTCACCAAAATATCAAACTCCACAAATGTTGACGAGTCTGGACAACTATGCCTATGAGGTTCCTGAGTTGGTGGGTTGACATTGAAAATTGTTTTTTCCAACTAGTCATTAACAAATTCGAAATAGTAAAGAGAGAATGTTGAAATGTTTACTTGTGAATGAAAATACAAATTCCACTTCCCCTTTTTATGGATTATTTTCTGAATTTTTAAAGTTGCAGAAAGATTAATGATATATTTTATGAAAATATAGATAAAATAAAAATTAAGAATTTGCATATAAATTTTTAAAGCTTTTATCCGATTTTTATAAAGACAAATTATACGACTATACACATATGCTTAAAATTATAAAATAAATGATATATATTTTTTTAAAAATAATAAGACTTATTGCTTTCCAATTTATTGGTTTTCAGTTTGATTAAAATATAATACAAATAAAAATTATAATTACTATAAATTAATAATTATTATTATCTATTAATTAAAAAAAGTATGAGAGAGAAAGGGAACATAAGAGAGGGAGAGAAAAAAAGTTTTTCAAACTTTTAGCAATTTAATGTTATTAATAGGTATTTTTTTGACTTTTTTAATAACTAGGGATGCAAATAACAACCCCCGTTATTATTTGCATCATCTACCTATTAAAAAGACAAAAAAAATATAGTTAATAACATTAAATGACCTACAATTTTGAAAGTGACATTATTTCATTTCTCATTCTCTCTCTTATATCTCCCCTCTCTTTTATTTATTTTTAATTAATAGATAATAATAATTATTAGTCTATAGTAATTATAATTTTTATTTGTATTATATTAATCAAATTTAAAACCAATAAATTTGATAAACAATACGTCTTGTTGTTTATAAAAAATAATATATCATTTATTTTGTAATTTTATAAATTTTAACCATACGTATATAGTCGTATGGTTTATTCATATAAAAATCTATTAAAATTTTTAAAAATTCATATCTAATTCTTAATTTTTATTTTATCTATATTTTCATAGAATATATCATTAATCTCTATGAAACTTTAAAAATTAAGAAAATAATCATCATTATTCCTACTTTAAAACTTAAAAATAACTAATCAATTTTTATTAAAATATTCATTTTTCCAGCAATCTATAAAAATTCAGATAATAACTCATCGCTTTTTACTCAAACCTCAAATATAAATTAGTTTAAATTGTATTATGTTTTATTTATAAACAACAATATTGTTGTAATAAAAATATATAAAAAAGAATATTTGAAAACATAAGCTTAGAGGTGGTCGGGATTTTTTTTGACTGCTTGAAAATGTTAATGAAGTTAATATTAATTAAGTGATGAATTTACTTTTTATTAGTATTAAAAATCTAATTTTATAATAATAATAATAAAAAATAAAAAATGAGCTTCTTTGAACTAGACTCATTTGCACTAAATGGGCATTTGATGTATGTTTTTAAAACGGCCTTGTTGATTGCTTCAAGATACAATGTGATATTACATTCTTTAACAACTATAGGTACTCTGATATTCCTTCCACTTCAATCTTGTCCTCTGCCGTGGTATGAACATGTTGCTTTTATAGTTGAATATGTTAACGGTAATTATTACGTCAAAATATCTTTGATAGAAGGGCACCCGATGCCTTCTATCGTGCCAAATTGGTTTCATTTCAAATATGATTACACCACTACATGGGCTACTTCGTACATGACCGAATAAATAAATATGAACAACTATTATCTAATAATCGTACTACGAAATTTATTTCACTTGATTGAGTTGTAATATTTTCAAACTTTTTACATTTTATTCAATTTGTTGATTTATCAATTAACTTATTTTGATGATCTTTTTTACATTAAATTATTTTATCTTTGTAGTTTTAAATATTTATTTAAAAATCATACATATATAAATTATTAACTAATAAAACGTTAGCAATATAATTATAAAAATTAAAAAATATATATAATA